AAAATAAGAAAAAAAAAAAAAAAAAAAGAAGCACTATTGGCATTAGACACAACACTCTAAATGCAAATTAGAATTTTTCGATAGGATGACTATCTTATACTTTAACATGTTAAAAGATTTCTTGATAAATTCTATCTTATGATTTCTTTTTGACAATTTAGTTACTTGAAAGTTAATAAAAAACGTAATGATTTAAAATTTAACGGTTTCTTTTTTTGAATTTCAAATAGATTTTAGATATAAATTACTTGTATTTATGTCCTAAAAACTATATAAAAAAGAATACGAAGAAATGTATCTTAATAGTTTTAAAATACATATTTACTTCTGTTTTTTTTTGCTTTAAAAAGCACTAGAAATTGAAATATTTGGTTGCCGTGTTGATCCTAAATTATTTCTACAATGGCGACGAGTTTTCTTTTTTATTTTTATCATTGAAGAATATATATATGTTAGAATAATTCTATCTTCTATTTTTCGCTCTCATTTAAAAGGTAAATAAAATCTTCCTCTTTTTTTTTTATACGATTGGCTAATGGAATAGAAAAGAAAAACGAGTCAAAAGTTTTTCTTTATTTTTTTTATCCAAGAACGGAAATACTTATCAAGATGATGAATTGAAAATTTTTTTAAGTAACTATTGATCTTTTCAAATGTATTCTTCGTTATATAAAAAATAAAAACTGAAATTAACTTTCAATAATGTCAGCATAAAAGAAAAATAATAGAGCCTTCGGAATTGAATTCATATGAAGCTTTTGAAACTACTTGAAGTCCACTCCTGCCACCTAATGTCATCTAAACTCAATCCAGGTAATGCCCTATCTTAATTGTTTCCGGGTATGTTTCGATTAAAAGTAGGGTTAATAGTAATGGAAACTAAAGACCTTTGGAACTTGTATCAGATAAATTCTTTTCTTTTTCTCTATAATTCAGCATGATCTGCTATTATTTTTGGTGCACAATCAGATAAGAATTCTCTTCGTTGTATTATTATATCGATAGCTTCCTGATGAGCAAATATTTATCATTTCTCTGTATGTACTAATCTATTATAATATCTTAATTAATGATAACGAAAGAATAAAATCTGGAAAAGATTAAATTGAATATTAATAGAATACACGAAGAAAAGAACTCATGTACTTATGAGATATGAAGTTGAGTGAAAATCAAATAAAAGAACAAGTAATTGGCTGAATCAAAAGAAAAAAAAAATAACATTCATTCCTTAGAATATTTCGTTTGATATATAAAATCGTGAACGTTTTTTTTTTCTTGTCTCGTTCATTAAAAATTATTTGGTTTCAAAAAAAAACATAACAATAAAAATTCTTTAATATTAATTTTGTTTGAATAGATAAGTATGTATATTTACATGAATGATGAAAGAAAATTTTTCCTTTGAAATTCTATTTATCTACAAATTTTTTTAATAATATCATTATTTATTCTTTCGTAAAATGATCATTTCTTTTTCTTTTTTTTTGTTTGCTAGATAGAAAAATAATCAGTTTCTCATTTGTAATACATATTTTTAAACTTTTATAATAGAATATTTTTTTTTTAATATTAAGATAGATGAATAGTATATATAAGTATGAAAATTACAATGACAATAGTTCAATCAAATAAATAGAAAGAAACGATCTAACAAATTCGACATATTAACAAGTGAATTAAATTCAATAACACATGTTTCTTGCTATTATGTCTCGAACTTATTACTAATCAACAGGGAGTAACAGAAATTCATGTGTTCATCAGAAGTTAGACCTTTTTTTATTCGAGTTCTATATTGTATTACAAGCGTTATAACTATAGAGGACGGCGTACACACGCACGCAACTAGAAGTCTTTAGGGTATGAATAATGACAAACGAAGTTGAAGTCAAATCTTTTTGTTTTTGTTCAATCCTTTTTTTTTTTGTAGTACCGTTATTACTAAGTTAGTTTTTTTCTATTATCGTGAACAAATACACTATTCTATAGGAACTAATTTTTTTAACGATTTGTGAAAAACAAAAGATTTTATTCGAAAAGAAAATCGAAATGTAGAATTCTTTTGTCTTTTTTTTCTTCCTGTGATTCTATTTTCTATAAAATAATAGAAATAAAGAAAATTAGAAGAATTCATCGGAAGCAATTTTCAACATGAACAATTTCAAATAATTTTTTCTGTTTAATGATATATATCTAATTTCTAAATACTTATTAGAACAATAATAAAATCTTCACTCAGAATACTTACGTGCATAGCTATTATGTTGATTTGTTGTTGTTTTTTTTTTCCTTTTTGGATATAAAGAATTGGTTAATGGTCTTTGTCGTTAATATTCACTGTCAATAATCTAATGAGAAAAGGATTTTTCAAGAAGAAAAAAAAAAAGTTTTCTTTTTTTTCTTTAACGCTTGGCTCTACAATGATAAACAATAGAGTGAGAAAGTATTGCTTCGATCAGGGATCGTACAATAATAAGAAAGAGAAAAGAGTTAACATACTTTCTTTCTTTTTTTCCCTACTATGACTTCTTTTTCTCTCTGATTTACAACATAGAAAAGATAAAAACAAGTGAAAATTTTCGTCATTGTTAATATTATGAGTTTTAGTTTCATTGCTATAAAAATATATTTTTATTAATAAAAATCAAACACTAGAGATACGAATGATTTATCATTTTTTATTGAAAATTTAACTGATTTTACCTTGCTTATAAAATAGATCATTTAATTTAATGACCTAGCACAGAAAGAAGTCAGATTAAATATGTCCTTAAAAATCAAATATATTTTATGGATAATCCATAATATCGTTTCTATGATAGATAAGTCTTAATTTAATGAATAATTTATAAGCAGAGAAAAAAAAAAGAAAAAGAATAAAATTAATAGCAATAGCTTATTCTATTATCAAACACGTAAGGTTTTCTTTTTTAAACTTCATTATTAATTAAAATTCACGACTAATTACCAAGGACAAAGTTACGGTTAGATTACCACAGATGTTCTGTTTGTCCTTTTATGTGCTCATTTGTTCTTTTTTTTTTGTTGTATATAAACATTCTACATGTATCTGAAGGATTCAAAATGTAATATGTAAATGATCTTTTGGCTAAAGAAAATGACTAGTAGTATATTCTAAGATAATAGACAATAAACAGATAAGAAAATTATAGTAAAGACAAAAGTAAATGTATTACCAAAATATCACGTATAATTTGTTATACAATAACTGAATTGTATTGATAATGGATGACAACAGAAGAAAGAATTAATCATTGATGTTACGCTTTTATTTCATATCTATTGAAGACCAATGATCAATATTTCTATGTTTTATTCATCATACCCACTACTATCCAAGGACCAATTGTTACATGTAAGGACAACCATGTAAAAGAAAACTAACAATCTTATCTATTACATATAGATTCTATACATGTTGATGTTTTTTTATCATCAAAATTTCATGTGAACTGTTATTAATAGATTGTTTTTTTCCTCTTTTAAGAAGAAAAAATATATTCATAGTGAAAATATTATTAATAATTAAGTATTAGTTAAATATTATGAGAAAAATATCGAACAATAAAAACTCATCAAAGAACATTCGAACTGTCTAGTCATCCAAATATAAATTGAATTAGTCGTATGAATTATTTTCATAAAAGTTTTAAATATGTAACATAATCTTACAAGAGACGATTTATGTTCTTTATATCTTTTTTCTAGATGCCAAATATAATAAGAATTGTTCATTTAATATTTCATTTATATTACATATGACATGTTACTTGATGTGTTTTACAAAATGAGTTCTTAGGTACAAAATTTTTTTTTTTTATTGAATATAAATGCTTTTGTTAGAAAATGATAATTTATTTTATGTTTTTTGGTTTTCTTATTCTCACATACAGGAAGAAATTTGACATGCAAATTTTGATATATAAAACTGTCAACTATCAAAATTAATTAAATCAAATAAATCATCGATAAAGATTTTGATCAAAACTATGCAGATATTTTCGATTGATTTTCTTATTATTCTTGACTTTAAAGAAAAATTATTCAATTGATATTAATATTTAGATTTTTTTTTTCTTTTGCAAACAAAAATATTTGTCTTTTTTATAAGTATATCTATAGATGGCAAAATACATCATCATAATCATACGTTTTGAGTTAGTCTTGTGAAAATATTCGAAATGTCATATGTGATTAAATTCTCTAGATAGACTTGATCATATAATTAGACATTTTCTTTATAACAATGTCAAATCTGAAGAAAAAAAAGTCATAAGCTTTTTTTTTTCAAAAAAGAAAAATTTGTTTAACAAAAAAAGAAAATGCATAAAATAGTAAAGAATAAAATAATTGATAAACTTAATTTCTTTAATATATTAAAGATAATCATAAATATTTTACCATGTACAGTAAGACAAGGATCTGGTTCTTAATTTTCAATAGCTACTCGATGCATTTGCCAATTATGCCATAATGTATTAATACCTGAGCCAATACTTGTTATAGGTAATAGATTGAAAAATTTTTGTTTCTCGAATATTATATGAAAGAGCTCGTGCCTCTTTATCTGAAATATTTTTATCAAGTAGAATTTCAGGAAGATTAAATTGAAGACAAGTAGGTCGAGCAATACCAATAAAATCACATGCATTCGAACAAATAGCATCATTCATTCCTTCACGAGTACGAAATCCACCAGTGACAATAAGAGGAATTCTAGTAGTATTACGAATTTTTGCAGCAAATTCAATAAAATAAGCTTCTCGCTTACGTGTACGTTCTAATCGAGTTTGATATTCAATATCAATCATAGCAGGAGGGTGTGGGTTCCACCAGAAATTTCAGTAAAATCAATACCACCATGTTCATCAATTCATCGAATTTGTTCATGTGCTTCATCTTCAGTTAATCCACCAATATTAAAATCAGCTGAATTAAGTTTAATACCAACAGCAAATTTTGAAGGAACAACTGTTCTAATAGCATCGATAATTCGAAATAAAAAATTTCATTCTATCCTTTGGTGTTGCTTCATATTCATCTATTCGTTTGTTTGTTTTCGGTGATAGAAAACTACTAATTAAATAACCATGACTAGCATGAATTTCTACATCAGCAAAATTTACTTTAGCCATAATTTCAGCTGCATTAGCAAATTTCTCAACAGCTTCATCTATTTGTGCTAGAGTCATTTTTTCAGGTGTACCAATAACAAAATATTGTAATGTTCGTGCAAAAATATTATTACCAATGGACATTGCAATTCTACTAGGTGCAATTGTCGGTTGTCTGTATGGTCTTTTTCCAAAAGGTGATTGTCGACCTGCATGATTTATTTGAACAATAGTTGGCGTACCATAACTTTGACAAACATCAGCATATCGTTTCCATTTTTCAATATCAATCTTATCTTTACTCGAGATCATTAAATCTGTCATTAAGCCACGATGACGTTCGTCGACTTGAACATTACCCGTTAAGAGAAAACCAAAAGAACCTTTTGCCCAACGTTCATAAAGACGATATATATACATTCATTCGGTTGATTATCACCACTACCAAGTGATTCTTCCATTGCTGTTTTAATAATTCTGTTCGATAGTTTAAGTCCACATGGAAGTTCAAATGGTTGTCCGATTGGCATTTCACAATGTGACATGATTTTAACAATGGTTGATGCTCACATAAAGCGTAAGATGATAAAAAGAAAAGAATTATTTCAGTTATCTTTGTTATTTTTTACATCCATTGTTTACATACAATAGACTCCTTTATAGGATTGGCAAAAGATATAATTTTCTTTTTGTCAATTACAATTAAATTTCATATATTTTCCACTAATAAAACGTAAATTCAAAGAATTTTTGTTTGAATTTTTATAAGTTGTTCAAATGAAAATTATTCAATATATCAAATATGAATTCATAATAATTTTTTTCTTCTCTAATTGAAATTCAAAACAAACAACTTTTTTGTCTTTATTCTTTATACAAAGAAACAGTACCTGTGAATGAATGTGTAAAAAACAAGACTTTTATTAATGTAAATATGTTTTTTTAGAATGGAAATAGAAGCAATGAAAGACTAATGCATATTAAATATATTATTCTAGTTTTATATTCTGTTTATTTCTTGTTTGCGAGATTTTATGACAAAACTATCGTAAATGCATTTGTCATTATACTTTGATCTTTCTTTTATCTATTATTCAGATGACCATTAATTATTCTACTCATTCTTTTTTTTTTATCTAAAATAAAAAGACAAACTTTCATGAGGTTTTCATTCAAATACACATCATACATAAGAATCAATGTATAAAGATCTTGCCAAAATTCTAACAGTTGATGAAAAAGAACTTTTTTTCACAGTTTCTAAAAGTTCATTTTTCAATTCTTACTTCAATTGGTCAAAATCTATTTAACTACATCATAGATTCTTATGGTTTCTCTTCGTACTTAAAAAATTCTCATGAAGATACTATCGTATTACTAGCTGATGTTCCATTGTTAAGATGTATTCGTTTTACTAAATATTATATCAATAAGAATGTAGAAAATTTTCAGCATGTTTTTATCCATTGTCAATATAGAATGTAATTTACAAACGAAGATAAAGAAAGTACTGAGTTCAACGTGAGATTTCTTGTAAGAAAAACTCTCAGTTGAAGTTCATATGATATTGATTATCATAAGATTCATTGTGTAGACAAAAATTATAAAAAGATTTTAATCAATTTGCAGTCTATTGAAAAGCATTACAAGAAAAGGGTGAGTGTACGTCAAGCGAATTTCAACATCCACACCAAACAAGTTTCAATGACAAATCAAACTTTACATGATACCTATACATAAAATCGTAAATTTTTTCTCTTCGCAAATTATAATGTCAATGTATTACATAATTTAAATACAGTCACAACGAGTCTTTTGAAATTCGGTGTCAAGTCCATATTTATGAATACGGTCGTCGTTTATAATGATGATCATTTTGAGGACTTGAGCTGAATCTTTGATACAAAATTCATCTCAGACCTCATCTTCATGTTGAAGATAAACGGTATCGTAGTCATCCCACCAAGCATCTGAATTACTTATTAAGTGCAGTTCGTTTTTCGTTATCACCAGAACATTTTTCATCTCGATCTCGGTGCAGATTAAAGCACCTAAAAACAAAAATATCGACGTCAAAATGGAATAACATTATTTTGCAAGAAAATCCTGCTGCTGCATTTCCTTGCTTTTGAACTGATGTTTTGTTTTAACCTACAGTGCCTGCAAAGTCAATAAAATATGACCACGATCAGTTCTAGACAACCTTTCGAATCATGTCATAGAAATCTAGAGTGGTTTTTTTGTTCATTTACAATGTGTTCAGAAAAATTTGGTTCGTAATTTTTGACTTGAATCATATTAAGAAGAAAAACATTTCATGCTCGCCATTTTAATTTATATTAGAATTCTGAAAAGTGATCAGAGCTACATTCGCCTGAAAGGGCATAGGACGAAACCGGCTTAGTGATATTTGTGGGAAAATTTCATCATGTTTTTTGATGAGTTTCTTTTCCGTGTTTGTATGTCGGAAAAATCCGACATTTCTTATGCTCACAATAGTAGTGACAGAAATGAGAACTGGTACAGCAGTAGTATTGCTCAAAAAACTGATGAAGAGGTTTCACTGAAAATCACGTAAATTTTTTGTAGCTTCTGAGATATTTTCACAATATTGAAGAAAATCTAATTATAATTTCTATAAGCGTTGATTGAATTAATCTGGAATCTTCATCTTCTCATAATCAGTAAATAATTTTATTTCATGTACTCAATAAACCTGACATTCACCTTTGAAGAATGCTTTGTCTTCAGTGACTTTAAACGATCGAGCGAAATAGATGCCATGGGCAAGCATTAAATTTTCTCTCGTACTAACGTGAAAACCTTCTTTGGCGATGCTGAGCGCTCTATCCAAATCAGTGTGATGAAAGGCAATGTATTTTATGTCCTGATCTGCTGATAGCGTCTCTGTGGAATATCATCGAATGCATGAAATATAACAATGTGCTCAAGCGAAAATTTTTGACATTGTTCAGTGGTTGTGTACTTGCATGGTCGATTACCTATCATATCCGACAAACAAAATATGCCAAGCAATGGATAAGGTAAAAATCGTTGTAGAGTGGGATGAAATTGTTGTCAACAGCGGCAACATCGACATCTCTTGTATATGCCATCGGGTTGATAGTGCCACCAGAAGCGGTATTGATAGTAGTCCAGAGAAAGTGCGAGAAAAATGAGAGGAACAGATGCAGCACATACCGTGGCCATTCGGTAGCCGAAGTCGCGCACTGTCTTATCCGAGGCATACAAAATAATGGCGATAATGCGCAGAATAACGAAGAAGATAAATAGAGCGAAGCGAACGTGAAAGCGAAGTTTTGGCCGAGCAATATAGCAGGGACAGTTGCAGGTGAATGTAACACAACGATGATTTGGTCGACTTTTACACATAAGACACATGAGTCTGTAATAAAAACAGACGTCTTCTACTTGACCATCTTTTCCTTTCATCGTATCATTCACACAAGTACCACAGGCAAATAGGCTGCAGCAGGCAAGAAGAAGAAAAAGAGCAACATAAAGACCATTAAAGTAGGAATGATTGAAGCAATCCAATCAATGATAAATGCTGCCTTTGCTTGCGTGCTGGATAGAAGAGGTGAGGGAACCAGTTGATTCTGTTCGACAATGGCACCCTCTATGAGCTCTGAGAAAGCTTTAGGTGAAAAGAAAATATAGATACGAATGGTCCCGAGAATCAATTCAAAAAAACGAGATTATAGCCAAAACAAAAGGTATTACTTTGTAGCCGCACGACGGACACATTCGTATCTTTTTCTGAATTCAACACAATAATCTTTTAATGTATGCTGATTAATATGAGAAAATCAAGTCTAAAAAAATAGTAAAAGACAGTCAAAAATGGAGAAACGATATACACTTTATTGTTCAGGAATAAGATGAGAAAATAATGATGCCTCTGTTAACGTAAGATTCAGATAGATCCTTTGTTTGAAACAATGAAATTAGTCCTACAAAAAAACAGAAAGGATATCTACCCATAGTCTGTTAGTCAAATTCGAAAATGTCTCGTTGTGGGTAGATATCCTTGGAGCAGCATTTTTGTCTCACCTAGATCTAATTCTATTGATAACATGGAGTCATCCGTGACGAAACAGTTCAAGAAGTCCTTTATTAGTTTCTTCATTTGGTCTAACTTACCGAGGGAACTTACTAAAGACGAATTAAGGGGCGTTCGGAGAGTAACTCTATCTAATAAAGCTGATCATTTCTGAACAAAAGTGGATTTCGTAGAAATTATTTCATTTTATCGAAGTGGATACAATATCATTTTGTCTTGAATCAATGGATATAGTATAATTAATTGATTAACTAAGATTAAGCAAAAATTAGATTCAGGTATGAGGTTTGATGATCAATGGTGAGCGTGTAGCAGCTACTAATTGGAAGGCATTCAAAAAAAGACATCAGCATAAGAAAAAGAGCCAGCGAAAAAATGACTAACTAACAATTGTTACTCTGTTTTCTACTGGTTGCTAGTTGAAAACAATGCGAATAAATATTTGAAGCCATCCAAAAATGATGTATCTCCTTCATAGATGACTCCTTTTTATATCTCGTACGGCATGCTACTCGTGTTTGATCTTGAGCAGCTAGTTAAGCCGTATTGATTTGTTATAAACAAAATATCAATGACTACTCTTTAAAACTTAAAAAAGATTCCGACGATATCGATTCTTGTTCAAAAGAAATGAACCATTTATAATAGAAAATAACTTGCCGAATACTTTTTATTACAATAACACAGCAGAGATTCGTAAGGCACAGTACAATTATAGTCTCATCGGTCTCATAACGCTCTTACTAGCGATGATGCAGTATAGAGATTGAGTCCTTGACAGATTTCTCACAGGCCTATTCTACTTGATTACTTTCTCACAAAATCCGTAGGGAAAAGCATAGAGACTGCGTGTAGCAAAATGCTAGCGAAGTGAGCCTTGGCTGATTCCAATGCTACCATTGCAGTGATAGAGTCGTTTTACAAGTTCTATAATGCTTTTCTATAACTGCACTATGAATAAAATGACCAACAACCTTTTTCTATATCCGAACGAAGCAAGAAAATAGAAACATTCACAAAACAAAATTGAAAGTCAGAATATTGTTGATCAAATAACATCCTTTATGCTGCTTTATATATTACGGGTCGACAAGCTCAGCACAGTTCCGCTCAGAGGGACTCCTCAAACAGGTCATATGAAGTGAGCCAAAGTTGGCCTGAGCCTAAGCGGAGTCCATTAGTCCATACTATACCCATTTCAAATATATGATACTCTGATACCGGAAGTGCCATTCCCATAACAGAACAACAATACTCACAACCCGGAAGTACCATTCCCATAACAGAACAATAATACCCACAACCCGGAAGTGTCATTCCCATAAAAGAACAATAATACTCACCACCTGGAAGTGCCATTCCCATAACCGAACAATAATACTCACAACCCGGAAGTACTGTTCCCAAAACAGAACACAATTGTTCTGTTATGGGAATGGTACTTCCGGGTTGTGAGTATTA